TGTGGGGGGGGGGGGGGGGGGGGGGGGGGCTGCAAACAAAAGTTAAATCAGTTCATCAATTAACAAGTCCACCTAAGTGAAGGAGGAATCTGATTTGAGCCCCCCCCCAGGTTACAATGTTCAATTCTTACAGGTTCTCATCTTATACGGGGGGCTCACATCACACCCTCCTTAAATTTCCCACAGCCAGGGTGCAAATTAACACATTTCAGTTTGTTTTTCTTTTGCTCTCTTGGCTTGAAAGACCTACCAGAGTTGGAAGCCCCAAAGAACCCCAAACCCCTAGGACTAAGGATGTGTGAAGAACTGGAACGAACAAACAAACAAACAGGGAGGGAAGAAAAGTAAAATACTCGAGGGTGAAGGTGACAGGCACTCTCCCTTTCACCCGAGAGCTTACCAGGTTAAACACAGTTTCCACGATGTCCCGGTTGGACACTTCCCCCACTTCCACCAGCCCCGCCAGCACGGCGAATTTCATGCGGATGCCTCGGATGGGCACTGCCGGGTGCAGCGGCTGCAGCGTGCTCCCCGCGCCCGCCCGGCCGCCGCCGCCTCCTCCTCCATCGTCACCTGTTGGCTGAGCAACTTGCTTGTCCTCGCTTGCCATGGCGCGGCCGCGCTGCCGCCCGGGGCGGGGCGGGCTCCTGCCGCTTCTCCGCTCGCTCCCGCCCGGGCGCCGCGCAGGTGCGGCGGGCAGGGGGTCCCGCCTCGCGTCCTACAAGTCAAACGTGCCCGCAAGTTAAGCCGGGGCCAGCCCCGCCTGCTCCCCGCAGCCCGGCGCGGGGCTGCCCCTCTCAGCACGCAACTTGCAGCGAGGGGGAGAGCGAGGGGCGGGCAGGGGACTGCAGACAGGCGGCGCCGCCCGCTCGCAGGTGCGAGGAAGGTGCCACTCACCCGGCCGCGGAGGGTAGGGCGGCGAGGGCAGCGCCCCGCGGCGGCAGCTGCTGCGGCTGTAGCTGTACTCCGCGGTGGGGAGACCGCGTCGCCTTCCAGCCGCTGCCTCACGCCGCCAGCTGCGCGGCTTCCTGCCCCCGCGCTGTCACCGCCACTGCTGCTCCGGCTGCAAACGCTGCCGCCATGACAGCACCGAACCGTGCGCCTGCGCGGCCGGGGGCGGGGCGGGGCGGGGGGCGGTGGCAGGGTTGGGGCTGGTGCCCGCGCAGACTCAGGGG